TAAATTGTAAACGATCTTAAAAATTCATTGAAATTAAAAAGAATATAAGATGAAAAATTAAAAGAAAAAATATTATAATTAGAATATGTAAATAAACTAGTTAAGGAAAAAGAAATATCTTTCGAAACTATGAATGAATAAATTTCTTAAATATAAAAAGAAGAAAATTAAATTGAAAAAAGATTGTAAGAATTAAAATAAAAAGTAAAATTTAATATAAAAAAACTATATATTTAAATGTTATTTTGTATAACAAAAAAAAGATATATGAGATAAAAAAAAATTAAGAAAAATAATATGAAGGTTTAGAATAATATAAAATAATATTTTAATAAGGAAATAAATAATTATATAATTTAAAAAAAGAACAAATTGATTTAAAAAAAAATTACAGAAAAGCAAAAAATATAAGAAGAATTAAACTAAAAAATAAATTAAATTGAAATATAAAAAGATAGTTGTTTAAATTAATTAAAAAATGAATAAAAATAATATAATAATAATCTTAAAAAAGTATAAAAAATGGAAATTTAATTAGATGATTTTGAAATAACATAAATTAAAAATTATGAAAACAAGAATAATAATAATAATAATAATAATAATAATAATAATAATAGTATTAATAATAGTTATAGTATTTCGTTTGTCTTAAATAAAGAAATATTTGAAAGTAAAAACATTTGCCCAGGAAGTTATAAATAAATATTTAATGAAGTAAAAAATAATGCAATTTATAATAATGATAATAATATTTTATGAAAATACATATTAATTTTTTTTTTAAAAATAAAATATATATTATATAAATATAATAAATTATTTTATATTATTTTTAAATTTCTCTTATAAAAATATATATTTTTTTTTAATATAAAAAAAAATTATAAAGTTATTTTTTTATATATTATATTTCACATAAAAATTTTAAAAAAATATATTTTTATTTAGAATTAGATATACATAATAAAATAATTAATATTAATAAAAAATACAAATAAATATTTTATAAGTAAAATATAAATTTATTATTATATTAATTTAAATAAATGTTTTTATTATACGTTTTATTATAAAAGAATCAATTTATAGACAGATATATTATATTAAAAAAATATATTAATATCCTTTTTTATTAAAATTACAATTACAAATCATAATAAATAAAATTAATAATAAAAAACATAATATAAAATAAAATAAAAAAAAATAATTTAAAATTAATAAATATGATATGTATATATATATATATATATATATATATATATATATATATATATATATATATTTAATTTAAATGAAAAATATTTAAAATTTATATTATAAATTAATTAAATATTTTTATAGTAAGAATATAATATATAATAGTATATTATTCTTAAAGATTATGATATACATATAAAAAAAAGTAATAAAATGCCTAGATAATTCAATAAATAATATAGTTACTGAAAAAAAAATATAAAAACGATATCAAAAAAATTATTCTAAATATATAAAAAAACAAAATTATAAATTTAATATTAAATAAAATAAAATAAAAATAAAAAAAAAAAAAAATTAATAAATTAAATATATAATATTGTAATATATAAATATTTTAAAATTAATTTATAATTAAAATGTAATATATATATTATATTTGCTAAATAGAAAAATAAATAAAAAAATTAATATATAAAAAGTAGATCAAAAAATTGATTTAAAATATTAATTTATTAAATAATAAAAAAAAATATTATAAAAAACAAAAAAAATATAAAATAATTTAATTTTAAAAATATTTAATAATTTATTAAAAATTATAAATATATTTTTATATTAATTTATAAAAAAAAATATAATAAATTATAATTAATTTATTTATATTATTTATTTATTTATATATTTTATTATATTAAATATAAATTTTTTAATTCAATTTATAAATTATGTTTAAGTTATTCGAAATTAAATTGTTCCTTCAAAAATAAAAGGTTATATTATTAATTTTAAAGGGTTTTCTAATGTATATTCTTTTTTTAGTTTTTTTATTTTTTTTAATATTTATTTTCATAATCACTTATATTATCATTTTTTATTTTTTTTAATTCTATTTCTTAATAAATATCCTTTATATATATTTTTTATATTTTTTTTTTTCTTAATACTTCTTCATTTTCTTCTTAAAGAACTAATAATTAAAATACATTTTATTCATCTTCAATTGAAGAATCCTTTACATATAATATATTTTAAAGTACTTTTTTATATTAATTTCCTATTTCAATTTATTCTGAATCATCAAAAGATATTGCTTTTTCAGAAGAGTCTTAAATATTAATTTTATAAATAGATTTAGTTAAAGTTTAAGGAAGAATATCTATAATATAACACTATATTTTGAAATACTAACCTTGTAAATAAAGTTTTAATAAAGCAAAATTTTCTTAAATATTAATAATTTCTTTTAATTATGTAATTTATTTGACTTTTTATTTCAATATACTCACTTTATTTTATATTAAAAATATTTTTATTTTTTATTTTTTTAACATTTTTAATATTTATGGATTTTTTCAAAATTTAAACAAAGCTTTTAAAAATTTTAACTTTCGTAAAAAAGTAAGGAATTCTTATCATATTAGTGTATTAATTTTTAATAATTATTATTCACAAGAACTATATATATATAATTATTAATAATTAAAATTTTAATTAAAATTATAATAAAAATTAAGTATATTTTTATGTTTACATTCCTTCTATAGATTTGATTTTGACTACATCATTTATCTTAAAATCTCTTTCAAAAGGAAAAATAAAAGAATAATGCCTTTTTGAAGAATCGACTAAATTATATTTATAACCTTAATCTAATTTTTAAACTCTTTTTATTTTTAATAACATATCAAAATAGCAATCATTAAATTCATAAGAAAACCAATTAAATTAAGTAACTTTTATAATTATATACGATATTTAATTAATAATTTATATGTTCTTTTTTAAAAAATGATTAGTAATATTTACTTATGCTTTATGTAAAATATTATTATGCTAATTTTCTTAAAGAATTAATTCTATTTTCATAAAAACATTTAATTAAATTTATTCTTCGTTATCACTACTTATTAATTAAAATTGTTTACTTTCTAATTCAAAAATATAAAAGTGACTTTTTTCTTTTTTATTTATTAATCCTTATGAAGGTTTTTTATCATGCCCAGGTTTTGTCTTTTTTATATTTTATATATTTTTTATATATTTAAATTCATAAAATTATTTTTAAAAATACTTAATAGTTTATTAATAATATTATATCTCCTATGTTTTATATAAACGGTAAGTTTTTTTGATTGTGAGAAAATATAATTAATTCAAAAAATTTTGTTTAATTTAATGTTTCGTCTATTATTTTTATTTTTTACATATAATCATATTGGCTTTTATATTGAGCTGTAGAATCAATTATTATGCCAAAAAAATTTACACTCTCAAAGGGATTTTCGATAAGTTCTATTAATGTTTTATACTTTTCCTATTTATTATTTTATAAATAAATAAAGGAACTATATAATTATTATTTTAACTGTTTCCATTTTTTTTTTTATATTAATAATTTTAATAGCGGTTTTTAATATAAAATTTGAAAATTTATAAATATATTTATTTTTTAAAATAAAATGATTTTTTTTTATTTTATAATATTTTAATTTATGAAAATATTATTATAAGACTTAAATAATTATTTTAAATAAAAATAAATTATTAGATTTGTACACGGATTTTTTGGCATTTAGAAAATAATTTTATTTTAATATAAAAATATATAAAAAATAATTGCTTTTCTTATATTATAAAAATAAATAGTTTATTAAAATAATACATATAAATATTTTATATATAAAATATATTAAATTTTAATTAATTTTATTAATTTATAAATAAAAATTTATTTTTAAAAATAATTATTAGTTATTGATTAAAAAACATATAATATATTTTTTTAATATTTTATATAAATAATATGTATTTTTTATTTATATAATTATATTAATTTATTGTATTTTATTTTAATTATCAATTTTTTATAATAATTTAAATCGATATATTATGTTTTTATTTAATAATATAATAAAAAAAAATTACTTCTTTTCCCCTTCATTTATAATTTTAAAAATCATACTGAAATCTAAAGAATCAAAAAATTCCTTAAAAAAATAATCAGATGAAATAATATAAACTTTAATAAGAAATGTTCAATAAGTTAAGCCTTATATTGCTTATTAAGTAATTTTAAATAATAACTGATTTTTAAAATAAAAAATAAAATGGGATTATATTATTAACAATTCATATATTAGGCTTTTGTGCCTAAGAAAATATATTCTTAGAATAAATAAATAATTTAACATTAAATTTGTGTATAAAAATTATAAAAAAATATTAAAATTCACAATATAGGAAGTGAAGTATTCATTTTAATTTCTTTTATACAATTTAAATATAAGAAGCAGATTATTTAACTTATACACAAAAATTTTTAAATAAATATAGAAGAAATGTTAAATTTAAAAGATTTATTAAATATTTATAAAATATTTGAAAATAACTAATTAAGTTTTATTTTACTATTTTATAAGTTTTTTTGAATTAAATCTATTTATTTTTTCGAATTGATAGACTTTAATGCTTCTTTATATCAAATATTTTTTAAATATTTAGAATGCTCTTTTATTCAAAAATTATATTTAATTCACTTAAAATAATTAAGTTATTTAAAAATGGTTTCTATAGTATAAAAATGTTAATTTTCTGGCATTTATATAAAGAAATAAATATAATTTATATATATGTATATAAATTATAAACTTTTAAAAGAGATTAACAATATTATAAATTTATATGATAATATATTATATATAAAAATTAAAATTAAAAAAATATATAATTTAAATAAATCTAATAATAAAAAAATATTTATAACTTATTTTTATACAATAATAAAAAAAATTAAAAAATGCCTTCAAAATAATAAGTCCAGCTAGAAGCCAGAAAAGAGCATGCAAGAGAATTAAGAAAAGCCCATTTTCATTTAGGATTTGAAAAAGGTTTTTTTAAATATATATAAAAAATAAACAACATGTTAAAAAAATAAAATAGGAATCTAAAAAGAAACTGAATCTTAATACTAGGAAGATTACAAAGCATATAATTTAGAAGCAGCATAAAAAACTAAAGATGAAATGCAGAAACTCCAAAAAGATTTAAGATCAAATCATTATATATTAGGAACCGATAATGACGCAAGTAAAATATTTATTTCAACAGCTGCCTAATCATTTTAGTAGCCAAAAAATCCCCAAATATCACAATTATCTTTAGAAACAAAAAACGATTTGCGAAGCCACCATTTTAATTTAGGATATTCAAAAGATCCTGAAATATCTGATTATAAAATTAACTATGACCCCAAGTAAATCAACTTAGATGTCTTAAAAGATAAAAAAGAACAAATAAACATGCTAAGGAAACACAATCATGACTTCGGAGATAATAAAGACTATTACTCATCCATTTATAATGAGAATTTTAGTAAAACATATGATCCTTAATACTTAAAACAAGGTAAATCCAAGCAAGAAATTCTCGAATAAATAATCGAACTGAGAAAAACAAACCTTTCAATGGGAAATAATAATCCTTAATATACTTCAGAAGCTATGGCTGAGTTTAATGTTAAGCCTTCTGCCTGTAGAGCTTTGATGGATTAGAATTTGAAAAAACTAATTTCGTTTTAGGGGATGATAAGGATTTATTTCATACTATATTTAAAGATAATTTTAAAGGAGAATAACTTTCTTAGCACGATCCTAATAAAATAAAAGCTTTGTCAAAAGATTTAAGATGTTAATTTTATTTTTGATTTATAATATTTTTTTATTTTTCTATTTTAAAAAACTAAAAAAGCTGCACATTTTACACTTGGAAACGATCCAAGAGCCTTTCTTTCAGAAGCTCATAGAAATTTTGTTTAACCTGGAAAAGATGTCTTGAATTAAGCTACTGATATGTCTTATTTATATAAAAATCATTTTAATTTAGAAGGATTTGGAGGTACTGATCCAACAAAGCATTATGTTTCAGACTATAAAAATAATTTTGGAAAAAAAGAACTAGAAAAAAATGCAAAAATAAGAGATGAAAAAGCAGACAGAAAATCAAATATTGTTTTAGGTTCTGATTAAATAGAAGATTAATTTAAATCTGAAGCTTAAAAGAAGTATATTTAATTTAATTTTTTTATAAAAATATAAAAAAAAAATATTAGTTTTATTGATTTTGGGAGATAAAATAGAACTGCTCTAGAATAATAAGCATTAAATGACTTACGAACACACCATTATTAATTTGGTACAGACCCCTAAAATATGATTTCGGAGGCTAAAGATACTTTTGTTGATAAAAGTAAAATTGCAAACTAAAGTAAATTAGATTAGGAACTTATCAAAGATCTTAGAAAAAATCACTTCGAATATGGAACTTCTAAAGGAGAATATTCTACTACAATGTAGGATATTGGAAAATACTAAGGACCCCCGTCTAAATTAGACCCTGTTTTAGCTAAAGATCTTAGATCTCATCATTTCTGTGAACAAGATAATCATTAATATTATAATACTACTTATAGAATTGATTTTGTATATCCTGAAGGTGTTTGAACATTGGTATATATATATATATATATATATATATATATATATATATATATTTTTTTAAATAAATTTTTTTTATTTAATTATATATATATATTATTATGTATTTTTTTTATTTTATTAGTTTTTAAAAAGTTAGCATTTTATAGAATTTTTTTTTTAAATAGATATATAAATAATTTTTTTTTTAATACTATTTATTAAAAATTGATAAATTATATGTATTTAAAAAAACAAATGTAAAAATATTTTATTTTCTTTATCTTTTTTTAAATTTAAAACTCAAAATAACTAATAATAACATTTAAATAAGATAAAAAAATAATAATAAAGACATAATAAAACATATGTATAATTTAAAAAAATATAAAAATAATTAAAAAAAAATATATATTGAATTTTTAAAAAAATATATATATATATATAAAAATAAAAATATATATAAATTTAAAAATAAAAATATATATAAAATATTATAAAAACGTACAAAGAATAAATACAATATTAAATAAAAATAAAATAAGAAAATAAATATAAAAATCCAAAAACAAGTAAGCAGTTAAAATATTTAAAAAATTTACTAATAATATCAATCTTTCTAGTAATACTAGAAAATAAACAATTATCGCAAATTCATTGCTGATAAGACGTAATCTAATCTAAATTACCACAAAATAGACATCTGAATGATATTAAACAAGAAATTATAATAATTAAAGAGTATATATGTGGTGAGGTATATCAATTTAATGTGATTAATGCATATTTAGTAAAAGTTCTTAATCACAAAAAAAATAATTCATAGGTATCTGATAATAAAATAATAACATTCAAATTAAAATTATACATTAAAATTGAATAATATATGTGGCTCTATATATTGAAATGATTAAATGATAAAAATTAATAAATATAAAAACATTAGAAAGCTTGATTAAATCTTAAATTTAATTGGAATTTATATTAATAAACAATAATCATAAATTAGTTATAATAATTATAATTAAAAAGTAAAAAGACAACTTGTAAAAACTAAATATTTAATAGATTCTAAATAAACTAAAATTATGAATAGCAAAATAAATATTTCTAAATATATAACATTAAAATAATATGTAAAGGTTTATTTTGTAAATAAATGATAATAAAAATAAAATTTATATATATATATATCAAAATTAATAATATATATATATATATATATATATATATAATTATATATAATATATATATTATTTATTATTATATTATTATTAATAAAAATAATAT